AGAGTTCCTTGACCAGCTATGAAAGTGTATGATCCATCGGCTAATCTCACCTTATCTCTTCCAGAAAGAGGGTGATAGGTTTGAAAGTAAGAGGACGTACCAGTCATGTGTTTAGACGCTCTAGAATCAATGATCCATGGAGAGTCGGGGGTGTGAGAAGCAACATGGAAAGCAGTGGCAGGGTTACCTGACGTAGATGCAAAAGAGGTTGAGGGAGGAGCATCCATCTGACAAATTGCTCTACCATAGAGCTCTAAATGGTCACGGAAGAAATTCATAATATCCTCCCTCGAGTCAGGTCCAGTGAGATGTGTCTGAGTCGGTAGAAATGGGGGGCTGATTCTCCCGAGTAGCCATGTTGGCCATGTGATGTTTCTTTATACCTTGTTGTCCGGACCTCTTATTTACCTCTGAACGTTGCTTCTTAGTCAGATCTTGAGCCCATTTTGGTTTCCCATGAAGATCCCAACAGGTATCTTTGGTGTGTCGAGGTTTCTGGCAATGAGTGCACCACAACTTTTCTTTATCTTCTGTTTTTTTCTAGAGATCTCCTTTCTTGGAGGAAGATCCCACACCAGTAGAGACACCCCCTTTTGCAACCAACACAACAGCATTCCCACCAGAGTTGTTCATCAAATTTCTTCTGCTTTCTTCAGACTGTACAAGAACATAGACTTCCTGAATAGATGGGAGATCCTTAGAGCTGAGAATCTGAACCCTGATAGATTCATACATAGGATTYRGACCATGTAAGAATGCAAACACCCTTTGCTGGGAGACAAGTTGCTTGTACTTTTTGGCATCCTCATCACACTTCCAATCCACACTCTGGTAGTGATCCAACTCCTTTCAAACAGAGGTCAAGTCAGAGTAATAAACTGATAAACATCTCTCCCCCTATCTACAAGTAGATGATGCTGCCTGCAATTGATAAATTTTGGCATAGTGTCGCAATTCTGAATATGTAGACTTTGCTTGTTCACAGATTTCATTTGCAGTTTCAGCCCACATGAAATTCTTCCTTATTTGAGGTTGCATGGAAACCRAGAGCCAAGACATAACAATATTGTTCTCCTGATTCCATCTATCATATTCAGCACTCCCAGAGGATGGTTATTTTATCCTCCCATTAATATAGCCTATCTTCCCCCTTGCAGTGATGTATAATTTGATCCCTCTTGAGCACTCTAAGTAATTTAAACCATCAAGAGGGACAACAGCCATAGGAAAGGATAGGTCACCCCCACCCATTCCATTCAGCATTGAGGAAACTCCAGATGTGGCTGAATCCTCACTGCCCATGATATCAGAATAAAACTAAACAGCAACCAAATAAGTATTGTCGTACAAAGCTATTGCAGAAACAGGTCCTTCTGACCTCGGATTTCACTGGGAGCAAAAACAGAACACTGTTGTTGCAGTACTAGAACAGGTCCTTCTGACCTACGGTTTCACTAAGAACAAAAAAAATCTGAACACTGTTGTTGCAGTACTGAAACAGGTCCTTCTGACCTACTGTTTCACTGAGAACGAAGTTTGAACACTACTGTTGCAGCACAAGAACAGGTATGAATGACCTACGATTTTGTAGGAATCAAAAAGAAACACTGCAGTTGCAGTGCATAACTAGGTCTGAATGACCTAACCAGTAGGCCTGATAGCCAACCAGTCAATGAGATCAATAGGGTAGCTGAACAGTCATTCAATGAGATTAATACAATATCATCTTCAGGGCATCAACAGTCCACAATACCAAAAACAAACAGCTGAATGCATTTACTCTTCTTGTCAAGAAATACAGTCAATCAGCAGTCCTCAATCGGCTGAACAGACAATCAGTAAGGCAACCAAACAGAAAAAAAATGACCAGTACCTCTTTTAGTTTCAGATGATAGCCTCTCTGTAAGCCAGAACTCCCTCTACGAACCTCAAACAATAGCCTCTCTATAGTCGAGTAGACAAGAGGTACAACTTCTGGGTTGGAGGATGAAAAGGCACTGCAACTTCTGGGTCGAACTAAGTACACCAGATTAGGAGTTCGATGGTGACAGCTCTGGGAGATGAAAAGTCACTACAACTTCTGGGTCGAACTGGATGCAACAGCTTAGCATTTCGAGAGATGCAGCTCTGGGAGATGGAGAGACCATCTGCACGACATTGAACAGCAGGTTTGTTTGACACCACCCTTCAGGCCTGGACGACCTGCTCTGATACCATGTTGAGCAAGAGCAAGAGAAGAGAGGAGAGGAGAAGAGAGAAGAGAGGAGAGTCGAGTGGACTGAAAACCCTCCAGAATACTGGAGGCGAGTGTAAGAGTTATTATTTATACTGGCCCAGTCATACAATATAAACAAGAGAGAAATTACAACAGTACCCTTGGTACTAAACAGTACACACAACAACTGTCAACAGTTTCCTAGTTTTATATACCATTCAACATGTACGTTAATTGAAAAAATAGCAAATCTCTTTATTAAGAACATTAAATTTCCTCTAAAAATGTGACAAATCATCACATCTAAAAGATAAAAATCTTTTACATATATTAATTTCATTATTTTCAAAAACAATACTACTATAATAAGTATTTAATAGAGCAAATTCATATTAATTTGTAGCTAGAGAAGGTTATTAACTTTATATGATAAATATTCAAGATGGAAAGTAAAATAGAAAAAAAAAACAAGGATAGAGTTTCTATTTTATTTAATTAGAGAGAGAATAGAAAAAAAGAACTTTATTATTATATTCTTTCTTTCCTCTTTCTTTCTTTTTCTCTTCTCAAAACCCTTTGATCTTTTAAATTTCAATAGTACATCAAAACAAAGTATAATTGATATATATAGCATATAATAAAATGTATTACACATACATTAATAAGATACAACAATATAAGTGATATTATAAAAGGTGCCCGCCTTGTCATTTTTGTTGCCTAGGTGGGCGCTTAGTCACCTAGAAGTGCGCCTAGTTGCTAAAAGTCAAGGTGTTTGGGCGAGGTGCCCAGCCAAGGGCGCCTAGTCGCCTAAGCGACGCCTAGGCAACACCTTGACAACTATGATTGACCTCTATGCTCAGCTTGAGGGGGAGTGTAGTGAGAATGGGCCGAATGGTCCATAGTGTTCTTTATTTCTTTTAAGTAGTGTTTAAAAGATATGTTTCTTAGTTATGGGCCTTATTTTATTTTCTTTAATTATTTCTTTAGTGCTGGCCGCCCCATTAAGGACATCCAAGTAATTGTACTCAGATTTAGAATTATTAATAAAAGTGATGAAAGGGGGATAGAGAGAGAGGTTCGAATTCTTCTTTTCCCTCTTCCCTTCTTTTCTTCTTCCACAACCTATTGCTGAAACTTCTTTTCTTCTTCTTTCTCTTTCTCTCTTTTCTTCTTTTCTTGCATTATCTGATTTACTGTAGGTGTAATTTTCAGCTATTATCAAACCTGAGTTGTCACTCAGGTGAATGCCAAGATAGGGAAATAACAGATGCTCTTTCAAGGGAGGGGTGACTAGGGAGAAACTGAATATGAGGGGACCACACCCAAGGTGGACTTCTAATAAGGTGACACCCTTCTAGCTTCTCTTGTAAGTAGTATTTCATCCTCTGGCCAATTCAATCTTCTAGAATGAGACTTTCCACTCATTCCAACAAAATTTTGATTTGCTGTTGCTAAGGGGTCAAAAGAGTGCATAACACTGCATTTGACCCCATCAACTTGGCAACAACTGACTGCATATATTGTTGTGTTATAACAGTAAATATCTTTTTTTGTCAATAACAGATCAAGCAGATTTTATACATAATAGAGGCACAAGAATGTTATAAGAAAAAGGATAGTGCCTGCAAAAAAGACTATGAACCAATGATGGGGGGGTCACGACATCCACTGATTACAGGTAGCATGAATGAGATAGAGATTGAGATTAACAGGAGAGGGTTTTGTCCCAGCTACCAGGTGGAAGAGGGAGATCATGATGGAGAAGAAACGATTTCTACTTGAAGAAACAAAAGCCAGAGGTAACATAACATTGAAGATTACAGAGGATAAGAGATCCGCAGTGCTGCTGTGTTGGGATTCAGTTGAATGGCTGAAAAGGCTTCTTGGATGGAGCAGTACAGTCGGTAAAAACATTAGGGTGGAAGAACAAATTGAGTAGGGATTGCAAGAAGTGTACGGTTTTGAAATGAAATAATATTGAAGGTTGGTTCATTATACTCTGCGAAAGATTTGGTAGAAATAGGAGGGAGACAATATGCTTACAAGAAGGGTGAGAGGGGCACCACTAGAAGATTATGACAGAGGCTCTGGAGCAGTTTATCACAAGATTTTGGAGCAGCAATAAGGACAACAAGAATTGAAAGGAAGAAGAGGTTAGTCAAGTTGAAGCAAGCAAAGAAAGTGTTGAAGAGGAGAAGATATCTCTGGTATGCCCTGTAACAGCACAAACAAACTTCAAAGCCATAACCCCTAGGTGTTCACATGAATGTATAAGATAGATAAGTTGAAAAGGCTGAGCATTTAAAAATCTCCTTTTCCAGGGAATTTACCTACTTCCCAGCTAGTACCCATATAATAATGCTGCAACTTGAGCGGGCTCAGGTTGAGCATAATCTGACTTTCAGCCCTAATATAAGATGGCTACCCCACTGCTTTTCAGCCTTCACAAACTTCCAGGAATGGAAATCTGAAAAGCAATGTTTGGTAGAAAACATGGAGAGCCAGAGGTGGATGCCATTCATCCATTTGAATGTCTCTTACTTCAAGTTTCTTTTTGTAGCTTTGGCTAGATCTTTGTGTTGTTTCTTTTAAAATTTTGTAGCTTCTTTTCTTTCCTTTTGTACTGCCATCATCTTTTATTAATAACAAAAGCATCCAAGCTCTCACCAAACGTTGCCTGACTCTTTATAGCTGTTATCATTAAGCAGCTTAATCTTAAGCCCTCCTGATATGCCATTGTGAAACAATCATTAAACAAAAACAATGGAAAACTGTTTGTTACCATGATTCTGCATGACCAGGAATGTCTATTTCCGCCATAATGTTGATGCCTGTTATACAAGAGCAAAATAATCAAAGAAAAATGCAAGGGCATCTTCTCAAACCAGAAAGATAATTAACTTCAAATTTCTATAATTGATGATAACAGTGATTTAAAAGGCACGCCTAGGCACACAGGCGAGGCGCATTTCAGGGTATGCACCTCGCCTAGGTCCTAGGCGCAGCCCTTTCAAAAGGCGCACGCCTGGTGCACCTAGGCGTGGCACAAAGAATTTAAGACCTAACGTGGACTTGTTTGGGCTTGCCTCGAGGGGCGTGGCACAAAGGCGGCTTGTAGAATCAGAAATGTAATATGTTTTACATTACATAGCTATGTGAAGTACTGCAATTGAGTGAAAAAAGAGATTAGAGGTTTTATATGCTTGAAAATGTTTTATATGTTTGATTTTATTTTTAAATTCTCATTTGAATATGCTTTACATCTTATGCTTATGTATTTTAATTTTAGATAATAGGTTTTTTAAAGCATTATTTTAAATTTAACTTTATCTTTTTAGTAATATTATATTTATTTTTTTTTTTGAATTTTCTGACTTTTTTATTTTCTAGCATTTTTTTTTTTTGTATTTTTGCGCCTTGCTTCAAAAAGGCGCACGCCTTGTGCCTTGCACCTCAGACACAAATTGACCCCTGCGCCTTGCGCTTTTAAAACACTGGATGATAAGGATGCTATATGAAAAGATAAGTTAGATTTTGTCATTTTATGTATAAAAAATTTGAATATTATAATTCCTGGATCTCACAACAGGATGCACCATGCACCTTAAAAACATTTTGATTCAAAAGTAATGCAAAAAGGGAAAACATAGTATGCAAAGAGATTATGTCATCAAATTGGAAAAGGGGTTAATGAACACACCTCTCATTTTGGCAAAGCTTCACAGGATAACATGCATCAAAGGGACATGCAGCAGAAAAAGCACTGTTAGGGATAGCCAATTAAAGAAGCATGAAAGAGGAAAAAGCTTGGAAAAATGCACATTCTACAGAAGATTCACTATAATATATCTAATAATCCTAGTATATAAGATAACAAAGAAATGTGTAAGAATTCTATCTTCTCTAAACAGACATAGACATGTATGATTTTAGAGAGGGAAATGATATTATGACTCAGAACGGTGAAACTCTCATTAAATGAGTTTATAATTTTCAAAAAGGGAAAAATAAATAATTATACCCAGTTTATAATTTTCCAACCATTGCTTTTTCGCATGGAGAGGATAAATTTATGCTCAGGGAACATTATATACCAAGTAGCCAGATCATGGAATGTATTGTTCTGAAACTTCAGAAGCCACTAGCTTTTTTTGATGGATAACTTGATTTTTATTGATATTGAAATAAAGAATGAATAGAATATTTACAAAGGGAAAAAACCTTCACTTTAGTCTGGCATAGCCACCTAAACCCCACCCTGTTTTCACTTTTTATCCCCCCCCCCTCCAATCTCACTACAAATCCCCAAGAAAATTTGATCCCTGTTTACACACCGGCTAGCCAAAGCATGAGCTATACAGTTGGCTGATCTATGAACCCATATGCTTACTAAAATTCTGCCCCTTCCCAAATCTTGTATTTCTTCCATCATGTTTTGGTGTTGCCATGGTATCTGATTTCTGATGTTCATCCAACCTACGACCACCCTTGAGAAGCTCCTAGCTTTTGGAGCATCCATTGAGTGTTGTGTGTGTATATGTTGTGCATAATACCATAATTTTGTGAATATATTATATACATGTTGCTATTTACTAGTGTATGTCAAAGTAAGTAAAAGAGGAGAGCTATTTATATTGATTGGTATCACATGAGAGAGAGAGAGAGAAGTGGAGGTGAAGTTAGAGGATAGAGAGTGTGTGAAATATGGGGTACATGATTGCACTTCAGAAAATTTTCTCTTCCAAGAGGTGGTGATAAGAAATCACTGTTGGAAAACGTGGGGTTACTGGTTCAGATCTGAAAATAGAATTGTATATATTTCTAGGATTGTGGAAGGATTGATTTAGAAAGTTTTTTCTTTCTATTTCTTTCTTTCTATTTTTGTACTTTCTATTTTCTCTTCTTTCTATTTTTTCTTCTTTCTATTTTCTTTTCTTTCTATTTTTCTTTCTTTCTATTTCTCTTTCTATTTATTGCAGCAGCTTAC